ATTCCTATTTTTTATAGGCACCAGTTTTAATTAACATTTTGTTGGCATTTGTCAAATTTCTTATTTTCACCCAACGAATAACAAGATATGGAAAGTATTTTTTCAGAGTGAGAGCTAGTCAGTTTCCAGACAGGTGAGTATTAATACTGCACTTCCTGTCACTAGTTAGGCTTCCACATTCAGTAGAAATCAATCACCATACAAGTCAAACCTGTGAAATTTCTTTGACTTGTATATATTCCACGGAGAGAGAGAGAGAGCTATTTATAAACCTTACAGATGGGAAAAGTAATTGGAGACTTCTCCGTTTTCATGTTTCCTTATCATTCTTGTTTTAATTAAATATTCAAGGTCACTTTGGGATTGTTTACAGTTTACGTTCTGGTTTCTTCCATCTGCAGTTTCTGAGAGCTTCTTGAGAATCATAGGATCATACAGTCATAGAAATCTTTTAAGTTATTCAGATCACCTCCACCTCCATTGCAGGCAAATGAGAGCTAGAGAACGAAAAAGTTACTTTTATAGACTGTAGTTCCCAGAATATTTCAGCTCATGTGGAGAGACTACCCAGACCTCCCTTAAGACTGTCATGTACAGTGGGGTCTCGACTTACGAACTTAATCCATATTGGAAGGCATTGCAGGCAAATGAGAGCTAGAGAACGAAAAAGTTACTTTTATAGACTGTAGTTCCCAGAATATTTCAGCTCATGTGGAGAGACTACCCAGCCCTCCCTTAAGACTGTCATGTATCTGTTTCCATATGACAAGGGAAGGGGAGAGGGACAGTGGACTCTCCTCAACACTGATAAGCTCCATGTGATATTTCAGCTCATGTGGAGAGACTACCCAGCCCTCCCTTAAGACTGTCATGTATCTGTTTCCATGTGACAATGGAAGGGGAGAGGGACAGTGGATTCTCCTCAACACTGATAAGCTCCATGTGATTGCTTAACAACGGAACAAGGCTGTTAAGGCTTCAACATCAGGAAGATGCTGCAGCAGAGTGAAAAGAAATTAATATGTAACCATCTTCATAAAAATGTACTGAGTCAGTCGAGAACTGGGCTTTCCCTCTCTGACACATGTGACAATGGAAGGGGAGAGGGACAGTGGATTCTCCTCAACACTGATAAGCTCCATGTGATTGCTTAACAACGGAACAAGGCTGTTAAGGCTTCAACATCAGGAAGATGCTGCAGCAGAGTGAAAAGAAATTAATATGTAACCATCTTCATAAAAATGTACTGAGTCAGTCGAGAACTGGGCTTTCCCTCTCTGACAGTTGTAGTTTTACAGTAGGTGATCATTCGGATTGTACTGAGAGAGAAAGGCAACAGGGTCACCAGCATCTGCTGAGATATCAGGCTATCATCTAGCGGCAACCATCACCGTCTTGTTGTCATTATACAGTATTAGTTTTCTCATTAAGAGATAGTTCCTTTCCCTTTTGCACTGGGCCTTTTACATTGTAAGGCTGAGGACAGGAAGTGCCTTATAACTTATCTCTGTAAGCCCCCCATGAGCCATTTTTACTGAGGACTGGAATTAGAAACAGTTTAGATAAACAAACAAACAAACAAACAAATAGTAGGAGCCAGCTTGGGCTTGTCAAGAATAAATACTGCATTACTAACCTTATTTCTTTCCTTTTTAGAAACACAAAATTCAATTAATAGTTTAGTGGAATGAAGGAATGCTCTTAACATAATTTAACAATTTCAGCAATGCCATTGGCAATGTCATTCATACTTTGTTTACAAAATGTGGGCACTGTTGTGGCCCAGCAGCCTTCAACATTTGTCTCAGAGAGCAAGAGATCAGGTATATGTATTAGATTTGTGAATGACACAAAACTGGAAAAGATTGCTAACACATCATCAGTTCAAATGGCTTTGTAGAGAACTGGAAACAGGACAAAAACTTAACAAACCGAAATTCAGCAGAGATAAATGCAAGGTTCTGCCATTACCCTTTCATCAATAAATCCATTCTCAAGTATAGGATGGGAGATTCTCTGCTTGTATCACAAACTGAAAACCACTTAGTACGGCCATATAGTTTATCAGAAGCTGACTTATCAGTGTGATACAGGTGCAAAAAACAGACTGCCACAATTTTAGGCTGCATTAATACAACCATAAATTCTGCACTAGTTCAGCCATATCTAGAGTCCTGCATCCATTTCTGGACATCGGGTTTTAAAAAGGATAGGGACAATGAGGTTGATATCTGAGTCGGCAGGTGTTACAGAAAGATCTTAAAATGCAAAAAAGAAGGATCTGGGTAAGTTTAGTCTGAAGATGGAAATATTGAGCTGGGAGCCATGATAGCAGTCTTAGAATGTATAAAGGGAGCCTTACTTTCTAGTGCTCCAGGGACCAGGGCTCAATCTGCTTGGCTTAAGTTTGGGGTAGATTTCAATTGCACATTGTGAGAACTGTCTAAGTGTTGAGGACAGTTTGACAGTCGTGACAATCAAGTAGTGTGATTGCAAGGTCTTCTCTGAAGATCTTCAAGAATGTGCTTGGACAGCTCTCTGTTAGGGATGCTCTAGCCAGAGATGGGAAAATATTGTTTTTTTGCAGGACAATTCCCAGCATGCCGATTCTGTAGCCCTCTCCAGTCATTAAGAGCTCATGAATGCTGCTAGCCATGCCTCTGATTTCATTGGACAGAATATAGAAATGTGACCAGATGTACTGGTGTTGCCTTTCCAACATGGGTAAAAATGCCCCCAAATTAAGGTCTTAGATATTTAAGATATTTGGAGACAGCAGCCACTCCCTCCAGTCATAATTCTGTGTCCAACACAATGACAAAAGATGTGTGGCTAGAAAACTCCCCTCAATGCATGTTGGCTTCATACACACTTCCTATGTTTCTTGTTGTTGTTTTTGTTGTTCTTTAATTGATTGTAGCCTTCTCATTCTCGAAAATTACCCAGAGATGAGAGACAACCTTCCTGAGAGCATTTCTGCTCTGGTATCTCTTTTGTATCCAAGGATGCAATCCATCTAGGCCTGAATACATGATACGGTGTTCATTCAGGGAGTTTCTTTTTCTGCCCATGCCTTCTCATGATGTCTACAGCCAGAGCTGTGTTTGACAGCGGCTGAGAGGAATTCCCGCTGATCATAAAATATTTTTGTTCCTTTGAAAGATTCTTTGTTTTCTTGTTTGTTTGCTCATGGGATTACTGAAACTTTCTTCCTCCCTGTCTGGTTTTGATTATTATACAGCCTGACAGAGTAGTTTATTCCTTGGTACCCAATGGGATTTCCACTGCTTTTCTGCCTTTGTCCTCTGTTTTTCTTTTTTAAATTCCTGATTTATCTTTGAGATCTACTATGCTTGTCTAGGATATATAAATGGATTTCAAGTTACTTCTAACAGATATTGTCCATATGTTAGGCAAGAGATGTTGGGTTAAGGGTATCTACATTTTTTAACTCTTCTGAACAAGCTGCTTCTTATAGTTGCATTTTCCCTGAAATAGGGATGGGTGAATTTTTTAGTTCTATTCCCTTTCTATATGAACTTACTAAAGTTTCTTAATTTTTTCATATTTAGCATGAAAAAAAACTTGAGAGTTTTTGTATCTTCACCAAGATCATTAATATCTAGTCCTATCTAGAGTTCAGCTCTATCTAGAGTACTATGTCCAGTTCTGGATATTACATTTGAAGGAAGATATAGACAATTGCTACTATTACTAAAATGAATGTGGCAGAGTTATCAATGAAAGTGTAGAGTTTTTCAGTACGAAAATCTTAAAAAATTAAAAACAATTAATGCACATGACATATTCAACCCTGTTCAAACAAAAATTAAGGCTAGCACCCGTTCTTTCTGAGAGATTCTTTGTCTTTAACATCTATATATTAGGCAGTTACGACAGCTATATCCTTGAAATGCTGGGAGTAGCTTCACCTATTCAGTTTGGCTACTGTAGAGATGATTTCATTTCAGTTCCTTTCTGAATAATTTACCAGCATTCTCAAATTGCTTAGACATTCAGAGTAAGGAGAATGTGAAATGTTTTGGTTTTTCCAAAGAAGGAGCTGTGTTGTGTCAGCAGGTTAAGAAAATGAAAGGGGAAAAGAGTAAAAAGAAAGAGGTGAAAACCCAAGGACAAAATATTGTGGCAACTGAAAGACCACTAATACATTTGTTGTTGTTTTTCTACAAGGAGAATATTTCTGCTGGTTGTAGAAAACCTGGCATAAGATTTGAATTATCTGTATTAGACATGTTTGTATTTGTGGCTGTGCTGTCTGTAAAATTCTGACAATTGTAGTAAAACCTCACAAAATGTGAAGAGGGCTTTTATCACCATTTTATTGAGCTTGTGAAGCTCATATTTAGAATTAGAGAAATGGAAGTTGCAGTCTTTAGCTTCCACATTAAATATCAGAAACTTCAAGGCCTGATTCCCAGCACCATTTCTAGCTGCTCCTTCTGCTGCATAGCCCACGCTATTCTTAAGAACTGTCAAAGTTGTTTCAACTTTTGTCCCTCTGTGTGGCTCTTGCTCCAGGCAGTGGTGTCACTGCAGTTGTGAATATTCTTTGTGCCCTGTTGTGCTCAAGTGACTCGAGTCCTTAAAAAAAGAGAGAAAAGTTTTAATAAATGTAAAATCTGAACATAATTTGCTATCCTAGGGAGAGTCATTCTGTGCATGATTTGCGACGCTTGCCATCCATGCTTCTGTAACTTCTGTGTCCAATCAGTGTGTTCCTTTGTGACCTTAATGAACGTTATCGTTCAATGCAAACTCAAAAGAAGAACTGCATCTCATAACTCTCTGCAAGTGTTTTAAGCTTGTCTTGCCTTGGCAGGAAGCTCTGAATATAACACCACATAAACCTTTCTTTTTGGATGGTAAAAGCTCTTTGGCGAAACTATGGATTTTGGGGAGGAGGAGTGCCATAGTGAACTTGAAAGAGGCAAGCTCTTTGGTGTGTGATATGCAGTGCTGACATGTGTTTCCTCTTTCAGATATGAATGAATGTGTAACAGATGCACATACGTGCCAGAGAGGGGAGCACTGCATTAACACAATTGGATCGTTTACATGTCTTCAGCAGCTCAGTTGCCAATCAGGTTATGAACTTAAGGAGGGTGAATGTGTGGGTAAGAACAGAACTTGACATGTTTAGTTTTTAATATATTTTTTAATAGGTAGTGACTTCCTTTTCAAAGGCTGAGCTCATCCTCTCAGTTCATAAGGAATCCTGAGCATCAGCCCTCCAACTAAAATGTATGTTTTGCTTTTAAAAAAACAACAACGTAAGTAATTGGTTTACCACTGAGAAGCATAAAATGTTTATGTGCATTTCTGTTATTTGTATAGCTGATGCTATATAGCAGTCATTCTCAATGGCAGCCATGTGGTCCCCTAGGATGGCCTGGAACATATAAAGGGGCCAGAGGCTGGAAACAATGCTTCACGTACCACCTTATAAGGTTCATTATGCAACTTATACAATCCTATTGTGTTTATGTCAATGGCGAAAAAAAAGTTGAGAATGGCTGGTGTATAATCCTAAAGACAGTAATATCACAATACAGCAATATTGACGGTGTTCCAAAAGTCTGAGATGACTGTGAGCCTCCTTCCATCCCTGGGTAGAGACATAAATGCTTACCTTGAGGTCTTTTTGTGGTGGTATCCATGGTTGGCTCTCCATTGAATCATCCTATTTTTGCATCTCCGAGATTTAAAATCATAAGTTGGCCTACTGATCTGTGTACTGTACAGAGGAAGACATGATTTAATGCTTTTATTCCCAATATTCCAATCACTAATATTGATGAGTACTTCCCCCACTCTTTTTTTCACCTAGAACTGGGAAAGGTTATCTCTCTCCCCCCACCACTCTGAGCTGAGAAATGTAAAACACTCCAGAATCCTTAGCCAATGGTTATGCTGCTTAGGAATTCTGAAAGTTGTAGTTGTAGTTTTTTAAAAGAGGTTTTTCATAGCCTTCCCCCTCCCCTTTTTGAGTTTGCAAAGCAGTTCTGTATTACTTAAGGGAGCCTTGCAGAAACCCATAAGCCAAGCCAGGTCTGTACAATTGTTAATTTTGGTAGATGAGGTAAGAGCAAGAGCCTCAGCGTAGGAAAAGTCAGATAATATTGGATGCTACAAAATTCTGTGTAATTCTCATTCTTGGGAAAGCTACAAGAGTTGAATATCTGCTTTTTATTTGTTGGGGTCTCTGTATCACATGTGTGGGCCTGCACATGTATAAACCATGGCTCAGAACTTTCTAGACAAGAGGGAGCATTGACAGTATTACTGCTCTACTGTCTGCAAATCATGTATTAGAAGATTATCCCTATGTTCTGTTCCATTGTCCTCAATAGCAATTCATAGTAGTATACTTCTGAGAGAGCCTGTTCTTCTTCTTTTTATATTTTACTATCTTTTCATTATAATAATGTGTTTTATGGGGGGGGTACACCTTTTGTTTCCTCTCCGCATCAATGGCTCTGAGGGCATTTTTTAAAAAGTGTTGTTTCATTGTGAAGGTAACTTTCTCATCAAAAAGTGGAGAAGCACCAGCACAAGAGACAGAGGAGGTTTCAGGGGGAACAAATGAGTGGATCCTCTTTCTGGCTCTACCAACCAATGCTGAAAAGAATCTGACTGGGGCTCAGAGTCGTTCCTCCCATCTTGTTTTTCAAGATTGGGACCCTCAGGGTCTCCTGTGGTATTATTGAAAAGATATCCTCTGGGACGTTAGTACAGGGAACTCAACCCCGCAAGGAAGCTTATGGGGGGACATTCCTGTTTCTGTCTGCCCTTTCAGAGGAAGAAATACTGTTAGTGAGTATCCCTACAACCTGTAGCCCATGGACTTATTACCAGGAGACCCTGTGGCTGCTGCCATACCTGAGGTGGGACCAGCAGCACTCACAGTCAGATAATGTAGCACCTGAGTCTTTCCCTCTCATTCCAGTTAGACAGCAACATATTCTTCATATACAAATATTCAAGCCAGTATGAGAGAGTGAGAAATGAGAGGAATTCCCTGGGCTAAACTAGTCATGCATAAGCAAGTTCTTTTAGTCCTGTAGTGGTGCCCCACTTTGGGCATGGCTCTCTCAGGGGTTACTACAGAAAGCATACTCCCACCTCAGAAAAGAGGGAGTATTAGAATCTTGCATATTAGTTCCATTCTTGCTTCCTGTCTTGGTACTGTCAGGAGAACTGCAGCTTTCCATCATATAGATATTTTCCATTTTCACATCTGTTAATTGTTCCCAAGAAAAAGATTTCCCTTGCTATCACTATATTGTGACTTTTTACCATTTTCCTTGTCATGACTCAAGAGATTTCATCTTCTGCCATGCCTTGCTTTTTGGCAGCAACGGAGCACCCACTGCACACTACAGCAACATTTTCAGCACTGCCAATTACATTACTACATCCTACAACACCAATGTGATTTTTTACAAAACAGTGCCTTTCAATCTCAAACACAGTACTGTACTGTTGAGGGCCCCATTCTCTTCAGTTTTTTACATTTGTATCGCACTACCAGGTGCTCCAATTCACATTCTGGTTTGCTCATTGTCAGCCGTCCCTTCCATCTTTTATCACTCAGGTACTTCTGTCAACTCCAGTTGCCACTGTGCTACCTGCACCATCACATGCAGTAATCTGTGCAGTCTCCATGTAGAGAGAGAGCCTCAGTGAATTCCAACATTCTGCTTCATTCTGTGGTTTCTGTACACTCTTTCCACATCAACGCCAGAATCATCACCAGATTTAGTCACTGGAAATCAAGATCCTCCTTCACTTTCAGACCACTTTCTTCTCATGCTGATTTGGTTTTCATTGTCGACTGTCTGAGGATTCATGATTGGTACAAGGATTTACCTTCCTAAAGATGAAGTAGGGTTTTTTTTTCGTACTCCGTGCTCTGGACAATTGTCCAGTAGTGCCTTGATGGTGCCATCTCTGCTAAAAACCATTAAGACAACTTGGCACAAATCATCCTCTGTATCTGTTTGAACAGATACTTTCTAGAGAGTCTAGGAGGATGCTGGTGGGTATCTCTTGAAACATCCACCCCCAAACTCTGCCACTGTTGATTTCTCCATGGGAAAGAAATCTTTATCCATACCACTGGACAAGGAAGGTTGACATCTAGATTTCTTTGGCCTGAAAGCTCTGATTAGAGAGACTGATTGTTAACCAGCAGGTTATTCCTTTGGGATAAAGGGTTCAACATGGTAGAATTCTTGCCTGAGAACAAGCAGGTGACTCATTATTCTTCATAGAAACTGGCAATCTCTTCATATGGCCAATAACTAAGTGAGACACACTGCAGAATGCTCATTGTGCATTTTAACGGGCTTCGCTATCTTAAAATGACACTCATGGCTCCATGCCTCGGCCTTAACTCAGGGTAATCATACCAAGGTTGAAGATCTGTCTTTTGATGATCCAGGTCTGTCCACTAGAAAGACAGATGAGACATTTGACATGAACGTAAGCTATCTGACATATCTCATCACGCCGGATTTATATCAGGCACTCCACAATGCTATTAATCTACCTGGCCTAGAACTACCAACTAATGTTTATATCAGCCTTTGACTTTGAGCAACTCCTACTTCTTGCTCTTTCAAGAAAACTTCCTTTACCTTTTATCTCCCCAAACAGCCTTCTTACTAAAACAGTTCCACCGACTCCAAATGCCAGTTTTGATATGGCTTTCCTCATCGACACTTTCAGAAATGTCCACTTTTTGGCTCCAGGCTCACCTAGCATCTAGACACCTGGTAAAATACCAGATTTATTGGTCCTTTCCTTCTCTTGTGGAGCTATCAAACAGAATTCAGAGTGGAGAGAGAAAGATGAGAGAGAATGAAAGAATGAGGTGGAAATAAGGGGCTGAGGTGGTAAACAGGATCCTAACTTGGACAAAAGTGGTACAGGCAGAATGAATATAAGAGAGGAGAGGGTGTAAGAAGTGCTCCCATTTCCCATCTCTAGCAATAAAGTACTGTAGAATAATAGTGAATAATAGTGAATAATTGCTGCCTTTTTATGACACCCATAATTCGTTAGCTGTGGTGGCCACGTCACTCTACCTAATGGTAGGACACGCCCTTGGTAGCCAGAGTGATATTAGTAATCAAAGTTCTGATTTCTTGGGAAGTGCTTTGCAAAGTGTGGTACATTAATTGTTTTTCCACATATGATTTTTAAACTATCTAGCAACCCATTTAATATAGCAACTGATTTCAAATCTACACATTACAATTTACACAAGTGTCCAAGTGGCCCTCAATAATGAGCTGTAAGCCTAAAATTGAAGCATTGCTATAATAAGCAACAGCTGATTACTTGCTTTTATTTCTGTGCTTTTGCATGTGTATTGCATTAGGACTAGACAACTCTTCATTCCCTGTAGATGTTTCACCCTTTTATTTTGGGATCGAGATTCCAGAGATTCACAGAAGGAGCATAATATTATGATTCTTGCACTTAATAGCAGAATGCCTCTGTCTGTGGATTCATGCATTCATGGATTTTGCTAGAAATTGGACTTCATAGTATTTCCTTTCCTTAAACATCCTTAAAACACCCTCAAAATAGCTTGCTTGGCATGGAGAAAGATGATTATTCAGCACAGCATTGGGTGTATATGATTTGCCTCACCTTTACTAATTTATAAAACAAAGTAGTTTGTTCCCAGAGAACTAGATTAGTTAATAAAATAGTAATGCTATACATTGCCTCATATTTAATGATAGTGATATTCATTATTGTGGCATCTCATTGTAGAATCACCCTCTAAAAGCACACCCGGTTATTTTTGTTACTTACATGCATGGAGAAACAGAGTAGAATCTTGGTTACTAGAGTAGAATTATTAAAATTCTATGAAGTTAATTGGTATTTTAATTTTATTTTTAAGACATTGATGAATGTGAAAGAGGAACTCACAGCTGCAAGATAAACTTTGTATGTCAAAATACAAAAGGATCATTCTATTGTGAATCAAAGCAACGGTGCATGGATGGATTTCTACAAGATCCAGAGGGAAACTGTGTTGGTAAGTTTAACTTGAACAATACATTTCCCATATTTGAGTGCTTTTAATGGTTTTTAACGTTCCAGTAATTTTCCCCTTCTAAAATTCATTTCCCTTTTAAAAGATACAATTAAAATTAAATTAAAGATTAGATTTACATAATGTGATAATTCTAAATGGATGGTTTAAGAGAGTCCCATCAGCCAAGAATTTATTGCTTAGTAAATCAAACCTAAATGAACAGGAAAGGAACAACAGCTAGAAGATAGATCTCCAATTAATTTAATAGTTGATACTGATACATGAATGTATGTTCTTTCTCACAGACATTAATGAATGTACATCACTTTCTGAGCCATGTAAGGCTGGGTTCAACTGCATGAATACTGTTGGGTCTTATGTTTGTCAGAGGCATCTCTTAATATGCAGCCGGGGGTATCATTCGAGTGAAGATGGAACCAGATGTGTTGGTAAGGAACACATTAAGAAACCTGATGATTTTTTATTTAGATTTAGCACATCCTTAAGCTCTAGTAGTTACATTTAAATCCTCTGTATCTAATGCATGTGCTAAATTTCTACCAACACACAGAACGATTCATTACAAACATTTTTAATGGTGAAGTATGGTGATTGAAATGCTATTCTAGATTGTGTTGGATTAATTTAGTTGCCAACAAAGGAAGTTCATCCAGATTCTTTGTCTACTTGCTCCATCTGAAGATCGTTTTCAGCAGATTGATGAGGTTTTGGCAGTGAAATGCTTTACTGAATAACATTTTTTTTATTGGGCCTTAGAGGTCGTCAGTAGGATTGATAGTAAGAGACTTGCTGTTTGGGAGAGTAATCACACTCATCCTTGATATTGCAAATGAGAAAGGTTGATCTCAGATGAACATACCAATGAACACTTTTATGCACATTCATGTACTAGATTTGGAGATACATGAGTGAAAGTTTCCCACTTCCAGTCTCAAGAGGTACAAAATGTGTATTTCAACAGGAAAAGGTGAACCTAAAGTAGTTTGTTTTCTATCTCTGAAAGTTGGTATGATATAATATATAGTCTAAATGCTCTGGTATGATTTCTTTAAGGAGTATTCCAGGTGGGCACATTGCTTTGCACTCCCCCCTTTTTTCTGTAACCTGGTGATGGAGCATACTGGATTTATTGTAATTTGTACTCTGACTGTTAACTGCTAAAGTACTTAAGTACTACTCTTGCAGTTTGAAGATATGTGGCCTTGCCATCTTCCCCAGCAAACATCTGCTGTTGTTGACTAGAGCTTATGTGTGCTTTCCTGTGCTTCATTGGCTGTTGCTATTGCAGAAATGCTCGAGAAGTGCCATTGTTCTAAACTTTCCCTAGTGCAAAAAATGTACCTTGATTTTGGGAAGGACAAAAAAGTGCAAGGGGGAAAACAGAACAAAGCAACAGAAGAGGAATATCCTTGGGATATCAAGGAAGTTTCCAGTAAAATCAGTATACAGGTCATTCCTTCAAGTGGAACAAATTGGGCCCTTTAATAGGGAGTTGGTATGAGCAACAAATTCAGATTTCATCCTTCTGATTTCCTCCTTTTTTCCTTTTCTCCCATTTTTCTGCTAAGAGGCATATTTATGGATAATTGGATTTTTGCCTGGTAACAGAGATAAATCATCTGGACAAGTCTTTCTAGCAGAATGAAGTCTGTGTGATTCCTTATTTTTGTTTACAAAATCCATCTTCCAATAATTTTCATTTTCTCTAATTCAGTAGACTGGTTAGCATCCCTTTTGTCCTCTATTTAATTGAAAAATACTGTAGCTATCATGAAATATGATATCCCTCTGACTGAGTAATGTCCTGGACCTAATTAAAAGCAGAACACACAATTTCACAGAAACTAATCAGAAGCCTGAACAAATGAATTAATGGCAACTAAAGTTGCTAATTTGCAGATTTAAATCTGCATTAAAATTAACTTTTTAATGCTTGCTCTGATGCAAGAAAGAGAAATGTAAAGACAGCACTTTAATTAAAATCTTTTTATTTTAAGTTATATTTTAATAGTTCATACATTTATTTAAAGGAACGCAGACTAGAAAAAGGATTAAAAGGCCAGAACTCTTTTCAATGAAACCTATTGCCTGTATCAGTACTGCAGATATACATGCTATTTTTCTGTAAGTTGTTCTTTATAAAGCTGTCTATACAAAATTAGATCCAATTTTACAAAAACAGGAGTCTTCACCTTTCTTGTCTATCTTTGCATTTGCAAGCTGACATACACGTGCAAGCCCTATTCAGGCATTCAGCTGATCAACTGTATATATTCTGTGCTGTCAAGGCAATTCCAACTTAATGTGACACTTTTCCTAGTTTTTGAGATACAGAATACACATAAGTGGATTCCTATTCCCGTCTCCTGGTGGCATCCTGGGATTGTACAGCTTGTTCATGACTGCACAGGTTGGCTCTTATCACATCAGGCACACTGAGGAATCGAACCCCCAACCTCTCCGTAACCAGAGACATAAACCACTGAGCTATCCCACCAGTTCATCTGATTGTAAGAGGTAATAAAAGTTAATAGCGGGCAGTGGTGGGCATGCACGCCTGTCCCAGTGTCTCTATGTATGCAGTAGAGATCTCCATTGGCTTCCCAAAAAAGTCTGTGCCTGAATAAGGCAATTTTTCTCCAGTCGTGTCCAACTCTAGGGGGTGGTGCTCATCCCCGTTTCCAAGCCATAGAGCCAGCGTTTGTCCGAAGACAATCTTCCGTGGTCACATGGACAGTGCGACTTAGACACGGAACACTGTCACCTTCCCACCGAAGTGGTCCCTATTAATCTACTCGCATTTGCATGCTTTCGAACCGCTAGGTTGGCGGGAGCTGGGACAAGCAACGGGAGCTCACTCCGTCGTGTGGATTCAATCTTACGACTGCTTGGTCTTCTGACTCTGCAGCACAGGCTTCTGCGGTTTAGCCCACAGCACCACCACGTCCCTCTCTGTGCCTGAATAAGGGCACACTAATTGGTGTCCAGCCCTCATTGTGCCCTTTTGGTGACACTGGGACCCTGTCCTTCTCCAGGTATTTGTGTGTTTCTGGATATCCATGAAAAAACCCAAGTCCTGCAAAAGGAGATAAGCAAGGGGTTGTGACATTGTGTGGTGGTGAGCTACGCAGCACCATTAATTTTGGGGATATGGTAGACCTTAAATATTGAGATAGAGACACACAGGAGGATTTTACTTCTGTGCACAGTGACCTTTCTAACTATGGTGTAAGTGCCAGTGCTCACTGATACTTGTACCACACACCAGAAGTAATCTGAAGAAGAAAAAAAGGGGAGAGAGGAATTCTGACCTAGCAGCTCAAAGCCAAGCATTTGAGCACATGGTTGTTGTGGGTTTTTCGGGCTTCTTGGCCGTGTTCTGAAAGTGGTTTTTCCTAACCTTTCGCCAGTCTCTGTGGCCGGCATCTTCAGAGGACAGCAAACTGAGCACAGTCACTCACATACTCCATTACGCTTACTAAACTAAAGTAGATGAGAAAGAAAGAAAACATGAATATCAAGATTGTGAATTCTAGCTTGTTTCACACCATGCTTTCCCCCTGATTCAGTCTGGTTGTGCTGAACACCATGCACATCCCTTGTAAGCACATGCTCCTCAGACCTGCAAGGCGTCTAGTTGCTTCTACTTCTTTATCTCTTCTTACTCCATCCTGTAGCACCTCTGCTTCATTTGCTTCCCAACGTGCCAATTTGGAGTAAGGCAAGCAGGATTTGCCTTGAAACAAGCATTTGTTCTAGAGTCATATAGTGAGTACAGATGGACTGGTTGATTAGTCAGGCTAAATCTTCACCCACCCACACCCTCTCTGCTAGCTTCTCAGGCTTCCCTCCCCATCAAAATGCTTGCTCGAACCTTCAAAGCAGGGAGATGGGGAAGGAGTCGACACAGGGCTAGATGTGTACAAGAGGGGTGGGCTGTACACACAAGTGATGAGCCAGAGAGGGTTCTTGCTTGTGAGCAGAGCCTACATGAGTGGGAATTCAGATTCAGAGCTGAAACATAGTAGGGCACAATGGCAAAGGAAAACAGGGTAGAGAAAAACTCACCTGTGAGCAATTTCATAGACTCAGCATCTGTAACACCTGAACAGGAATCATTTTAATAGGAAACTTTAATGTAGGGGACTTTTCAATTTCTCTGTTTACTCTCCCAGAAAATAAAACATCAAAGTAACCTTATATAAGGTAGAAAAAAGTCCTTGATGGACAAGTGGTTTTGAACAACATGGGAGAAAAAATGATTAAACATCAAAAAACTCATGCTTTCATCAGATAGCCCAGATAGCTTCTTTCTTAGATCATACACTCCATTAGAAGCAGCTGTCAATGTCTAAAGTTTCAGTATAACTATTGACCTTACATATGTAATTTTTGACTAAAACCAAACATTATTTTTGGTATATACCTCTCAAAGAAAAATAAAAAGGGGGAAAAAGTTTGAGAGGATTGAATTGGGTTATCATCCTATAGGTAAAATCCTATTGGCGTAGCTTTGCTGATCCTGTGTAACTTGGATCAGGTTCAGGAACCATTTAATTTGAAGTTACTAAAAGCTTCCTATCAGAGTGTTTTAGGTTCCAGGACTCCTTAGAAGGCTCCTTTTCACTCTCGAGAAGCCTTTGGGGGCCTTGAAATGATGGGAGGAGGCAATGATCCAGGTCCTGGTTGTGTTGATCCTGCAGCAATTTGTTTTTCCTTTTAAATGTCTTCCCGCTCTAATCCCAAGGGTCCCACGGGCTTCTCTAGGGCAAAAGGGAGCCCTTGGGGCATAGGAGGTTTTCAATTAGTTAATCCTTTCATTTCTTCTTTGAGTCCAGCAGGCAGCAGCGAAAATGCCAGAAATGATAGGAGCAGGAGGAGGAATGCCCAAAGAGAGAGGAAAAAATCCTTAAAGAAAATTGGAGGGAGTCCAAAAATAACACACACACACCCAAAGAACACGCTTTACTGGGATCTAGACCAGTTTCAACATTCCTCCCCCTCACAGATGTTCTGATTGACTGCAGAACGTTCCAGTTGGTCACACCACCATGTATTTGCAACAGCCCTCAGAATGCTATTCAATGAAAAGTTTATCAAGCCATTTGACATGCACAGAGTGAAAGAAAAGTCACACACAAAGAGTAAAAGAAAGTTTGAACAAAAAAGATATAAAAACCACAAAATCTTTGTGTACCTTTTTTCTTGTTAATACAAATTATTTATGTTTTAGGAATTTTGGAAATTAGCAAAAGACAAAAGCATTTTGTGTGCATTTGTGTTTTGTGTAAACACAAAGCTTCCATTCTCATCATGCACCCGAGACTCCAACTAAAATTTAACTATGATCACTTCTTGATTATAAATATTTAGTATTTAATTGGGGTCTGTCACATTGCTGGTCTGATTATGGAAACCAACTAGACTTTGATTAATATGTTTTGTTTGTTGAAACCGACTCTAAGGTAAAGGTAAAGGTTCCCCTTGACATTTTCAGTCCAGTCGTGTCCGACTTTAGGGGGCGGCGCTCATCCCGCTTTTCAAGCCGTAGAGCCAGCGCCTGTCCGAAGACAGTTTGTTTGTTTGTTTGTTTGTTTGCTTGTTTATTCATTTATTTATTTATGACTAGGGAACGCTGTTTTACCTTCCCACCAAGATAGTACCTAATTATCTACTTGCGTTTACAGTGGTGCCTTGCACAACGATGTTAATTGGTTAAAAAAAAAAAACACGTTCTGTGAAAACATCGTTCTGTGAAACACCATTTCCCATAGAGATGCATTGAAAACCGGATAATCCATTCCAATTGGAATGGATTGCCGTCCTTAAGCGAAAATCCCCATAGAAAACATCGTTGTGTGAAACAATGTATCCACCATTCAAATGCATTGAGTAGGCTTCAAGGCATCTCAATGGGG